ATAATAGTTGGGGTTTTCTTTGATTATGGTAGGGAAAGTGTTTTACGAAAGTGGGGATGGGTCGATTTTCCTATAGGAAGCCATAGGGACAAAATGAGTATTTTTGGCAATAACTCAGGAACGGCTCGGAAAATTCTTCTCATCTTCGAACTCGATCGAGATATAGTTGAGACTGAACTGTGTAGAAAATTTCATCGCGATCGGACTCTCCTTTCAAAAGTTATCGTGTTAACGGCCGGCCTGACGGACGGACACACTGACCGATTCTAGAGTGTACTCACTTTTTGAGTACACAAAAAGTGAAGATAATTGAGTCCTCATAATATAGGACTCGAGGACCTAAGAGCACCCTCACAATATAGGACTTGAGGACATAAGGGTACCCATATAATATAGGACTTAAGGACCTAAAGGTACCCTAATATAGGACTTGAGGACCAAAGGGTATCCGTATAATATAGGACTTGAGGACCTCAGGGTACCCTTATAGTATAGAACTTGAGGTCCTAAAGATACCCCTATAATATAGGACTTGAGGACTTGAGGACTTAAGGGTACCCTTATAATATAGGACTTGAGGACGTAACGATACCTCCTTAATATAGGACTTGAGGACTTAAAGGACCCCCTATAATATAGGACTTCAGAACCTAAGGGTACCCTTATAATATAGGACTCGAGGACCTAATGGTACTCTTATAATACAGAGACTTGACGACAAAACGATCCCCCCCCCCCCCTCCCCAATATAGGACTTAAAGACGTAAAGGTACTTAAACACGCCCCCCTTCCTCGGAATAGGTCAATATTGGTATAGGAAAAAGTGAATGAAACAGATGAGTCACCCTAGAATGTGTGGACATCAAAATTGTCCTGGCAAACCCTTCCTGTAAACACTTAATTTCTATTGGCTATTGCTCAGCTAATACGATTTGGAGGCAAATACAGCTCAGATTTGAACTCTTCACCTTGATTTATCCTAAGAAACTCGTTTTTCCTATAACTTGGTTTCTATTGGTCACTGCTCAACCAATGGGATTTCGAGGCGAATGGAACATAGATTCGAGTTCTCCATTCTAGAAAACCTCGAACTATCATCTCTGTGATGGGAAGATAGAGCTCGAATTGTGGATCACATAGAGCGTGGACAAGAACAGAATCGAGTTTCATTTATTTTTCTTTGCAATAAGTGAGCTAGCCTTCTTGTTTCTTTATGTTTTATATACCATTTTGTAGCTCGTGAAATTCTCTATCGAATGGTATATAATAGTTGGGGGTTTATATGACTATGATAGGAAAAGTTTTTTATGAAAGCAGAGAAGGGTCTATCTTCTCATAGGGAAAAATGACTATTTTTGCAATAACTCAGTAATGGCTCGGCCAATCATTCTCATCTTCGAACTCGATCGAGATATTGTAAAGACTAAACTGTGTAGAAAATTTCATCGCGATCGGACTCTCCTTTCAAAAGTTATCGTGTTAACGACCGGACGGACACACTGACCGATTCTAGAGTGTACTCACTTTTTGAGTACACAAAAACAGCGTGTACTATACATTTCATTTAAGATTTCCATTATGAACAGTGAATGAAATTTTAGTGTCTACATAGCCTTATATACGAAAAAAGTAAATTATAGTTTATATTTTATATTTATTAAATATTTCGTTGTTTTAGATAAAAAAAAATTTTTTTCTTCTAGATATCAATCTTATTCGTCTTGTGATAATCTTATTCTTATTTTTCAAGTTGTTTGAACTAGAACCAAGATCAGTGAGATACATTTGTGATATGACCTGGTTAACTTCTTTCTCTTCAGGTATAATCACTCCTGATTGTCTTAATAATTATTTATGATTATATTCATATAATTTACCTTGTGGTGATCTCGTTTTTCTATGTATATCTTTATTAGAAATCGTTCGTGCTAATATTAGTATTGACTATTAAATATAGATAAAGAGTAAGGTTAATCGAATGTTGTTAACGATGTTGATGTTGTGTTTATTGTCTGCTCACATAGATACCCTCATTTCGACATAAACATAAAGTGAAGCACAATGTTGTTATGTAGTATTCTCGCAAAGAATAAATATTCTTTATAGTAAAGAACTTTGAAATGTTCCTATATAAAAATCTTGTTTTTATTATAATTAAGAATGATTTATCTCATTCTCATCGAATGATAACTAAGATAATGTCATTAATTGATAGAAGTTTTGAAAAAGGTTTTCTCTAAATAAAGTTATACTAAGATTTATCTGAATTGTGTTATTTTTTCATATAGATATGTTTATTGTTTTATTTCTTAATATAATATTGAATAATGTCTCAAATTGTTAAAGAAGATTTCAAAGTAAAGTATGATACGAAAGTTATTTCAATTATAGTGAGCAACAAAATTTAACCGGATACACAATAGAGAATGAGACAAAATCTAAATGTTTATCTGATATTAAATTTCTACTTGCAGACTTGCTTAGCGTGTTTTTTTCAAATGCTTCATGTTATCGATGACTTATCAATTTTAGAATAAATTCGCTTTTATTCGATTGACTCGTTAGTAACTTCTAACTGACTAATTTGAAAAAAATTAACTAAGAAATTTTCTTATGTCTTTTTCGTCGAATAAAAAACGATGAAAAATAAAGATCTATGAAAATAAATAATTTCTTTATCGAAGATATATTCACTAATACGTAATATTCATATAGAAGGAAATCTCTTCTAGAATTAGTAAATTATAGATTAGCTGGAGGATCTCGAAAAGACAGACATTAGAGACTGATTTGCATTCGTCTCCATAATTTGATCATGAGTGATTAAGAAACTGATCAGTGTCGAAATGAGACCTATATTAACCATAGTCGAATGATAAAAATAATGAAATTCATATTTGAACGATAATCTTTATTGTGTTCTTCAACAGAATCAACTTCACAAGAAAATAAAGTAGACTATTTTGAGTAGATGCATCCTCAAAAACATATCTTTTTGACTGTAAACAAGTAGACATTTGTCAGTTGTGTATTTTGTTTTAGTTGTCAATTTTGTAGAGAAGGAAAAGTATTAGGAATTTATTGAAGGTACAGAATCATTGTTGAAACGTCTAGCTGTCGATTTGGTTGAGCTTTTTCAGTTCGATCTGTTATCTATTAGGCAGTTAAAACAGCATCGAGTTTAAAGAACAAATTATATATTGTAATTTTCAAAATGGAATCATTATTGAACTGTTAGTTGAATATATCACTCCAGTATTGTTATATATAACAATTGAATAATCGAAATTGTATATAAATATAAATATTCTCAGTAATTAATTCATTCTCTTTATTTAGTTATAATATATTCTATTGGTGATAGTCAATAAAGTAATAATGTATACCGGTCATTTCTCAACGGCATTACTATTTCATTCCTATAATCCATCTCTAACTCCATTTTCATTTACATTTGGTGTTTGTATAATTGATATTGTGTTTGGTCTATTGATTCTATTTGGTCTTGAACGAATTGATCTGAATGTGAAAGGTACTAGTGTCGATTTATATTGTCCGATTAGTCATTCATTATTAGGATCAGTCGCTATTAGTTATTTATGGGGTTATATTGATATAACTGGAAAATATTTCATACCTTTATTTTTCTCATCATTCACTCATTTCATCGAAGATTGGTTTGTGCACAATTGGGATTTACCATTGTATCCATTTAGTTCAATATATGTTGGTGGAACATGTTTCCATGCCAAGTATCCACGAGCAGCATTTTATTTAGAATTGATCTTATGTATATTATGTTCGATTGTAGCATGGCGAAGAAAGATTTTAGATAATTCACAATTAACAGTACAAATTAGCTTATTTTTGTCCATTGCTTATATTTTATTAATGCATTATTTATGTCGAAAATCAATATCTGGTGAATTGGCAAACTTATTGAAGAAAGAACAAGATATTAAAAAGCAACGACGAATGATGGGTGTAGTTTCACTAAAAGCTTTTGTTATACCAGCTATAATTTTAGGCACGTTATTGAAGCTGCCACGTATATTTAAGTTGTTCATAGAATAAATACTTGAATTTTTAATTTGGTTCTCGAAATTTTCATGACTTTATCACAATAAAAAGTTAATCTTGTGCCCTAGAATAATATATTCACTAGAATGAATATGAGTGGGGATGCAAACAGAGATAAGAATGTAACATCACATTGAAGATAAAATATCCATCGGTTGCATTCACATGTAACTCTTAACAGGATCATAAGAGAACATAAAAGTGACCAACACTAAGGTCAAATACGAAAAAGTATTCACAATTATCTCTCTGATTAAACCTATTCGTTAGTTTTTGTGATCACTAACTTTTTAAATTACTTTCCAATAATATAAGTTCTTTTTTTTCTATTAATGTCAGAGTACCAATGTAATGGATAGATGTGGATTTTGAACTTATCCTTATTGGCACGTCATATTCTCACCAACATACTTCACCATCAACATTTATTTCTTTCGACATTTTTCTTTTCACTCTTCTTCCATCCATTCATAGAATTTCACTTTTAACTAGTTCAATATGCGCCAAACTAAATCAGATATTCTCATGAGAACTAATGTGCTTTGTAAAGAATACATAGCTACCATAAGAATCGATCTGTTACATATCTTTCGAAAGTATAATTGTAGGGTGGGTGTGGATCTGGGTCTGGGTCTGAGTTGAAAGAAGAACTACACCCATACCTAGACCGACACCTGACACACCCGTATCCATAGCCACAGGTACACTCACCACCCACAGTCGCAAACGACAGCCATACCCTCGAGACTATTTGGTTTCGAAAAGAGCAATATGGTAGTTGTGGTTTTTCTCACTTAAATGTGAACTTAATTATTCGAAGATATAGATTTATATTATTTTAAATTTGACGAGTTGTAACTTTCATCCAAGGCAAATCGTTGCAACAAGTGAATCGTTATCTGACCCGATTGTTGCTTTTATAAAAGCATAGTCAATAAAGAATGATAAGCAAAGTTGTATAGTCATTTAACTTGGAATTGTTCGACAATAAAATTCTTGGTTGTTTTCTTCATCTTTGGACTGCCAATATGACTTGTTAGATGAATACTATTCTTATTCTAATTGTCTCTTTTGTTATTAAAATAACAAATGTAATCTATAGGAGGATAATGGACACTAGGTTAAAATGCTTTCTGTATTGATATCTAACTAAGATTGAGGAAAGCATAGGTTCCAGTTGAAAGTATTCAAATTGAAGGATGTTTATTCCGTATTTATAATGATATGATTAGACAATTCTATGCTCGGTTTGTCTTGTTGAAAGAATTAGTTTAAGTGATAATAAATTTTTGAGAGAAAACTTTCTTCATTCAGATAAACTTTATCCGGAGTAAATCGAATGCATCGAACGTTCATTATTTGAATAAAGACATTGCTTTGGAAGATCAATCTATCGATTAAAATTTCAAAATCAAATATTTGATAATCTATTTTGAAAGAGACGAAATATTTCGGATAATTTATTCTAGAATTTGTTATCTCTCATATGTAAAGAACGAAAGGGACAAGCAGTGTCACTTATGTTATATGAGAGAACGATGAAGAAGACCCATCTTAATCATTGTTTAGTGTTCGAGTGATCCATCACTGGATGCTAACAGAATACTTGAATATAATACTCATGTCTGATAGATATTTCTGATCTACCATCGACGCGTCTATGGCAAAGCGAGCTGAACTTACAACTAACTTTCTCATATGTATTGTTCAGAGTAATTGGTTTCTAAATGATAAATTCCATATGGATGAATTATTTACCTTTGTTTCTGTTTTTCAATCTATATCACTGAACCAATTTTGAACATATGCGACAGAGTTAAAGCCAATTGATTATTAATCTTTTTGAGGATTATAAAATCTGAATGTTGACCTACCGAAACTCACACTGATTATAATGACATATTCTATTGATTACTTTGTTTAATTAATTAAAGAAGGAAATATCTCTATAGATATATGTCTCTTTTATCTCTTATTCTTTATTTTCGAGAAGATGAGATCTGGATCTGAACATAATGAGACTCAGACTCTCTCTCTCCGACATTCTAATTGTTCAAAAGTTAAAATGTCTAAAAACATGTTTTCTTCGACATGGTCATTATATTTCTAATGGAATATCTGTCTGACAGTTTGTTGTATCCTGTGAATGATTTCGTCCACTTTCTTTTTGTAGGTCTCTGAAGGCAAGACAAAAACGAAAAAAGTAAGAAATCCCGGTATAAAGGAAATAAAATAGCCAATAAGAGGAAGCCAAGGATCACGAGCCGATTTCATACAGCTTGAAATAGAAGTTAGAATAATACGAGGTAGAGCAAGGAAAACCAGTAGAAGTGGACTAATAATGAGGTGCTTATACCGGCGAAATTCTTCGAACAATTGTTTTTTGTAGATTTTATGTTGTTTTTTCTGTACTTTCGATCGTTTTCGAGCAACTCTACATATGATGAGAAGAGCTGAAATGATGTTGATTGTGAATGGAGCAGAAAAATGAAGTAAATTCTTAATTCGTTCAAATGTTTGCATTGTTGACGTATAGGAGACAATGCACCAGATCCTCTCTTCTTCTTCATCCGTGATGAGTTTTCGATATAGAGAAAAAGGTATCTGCGTTGCAATGACGAAGACAATAACTAGTAAAATAATTCGCTTGGCTATTTTCTTGCTCTTCGTTTTATCGAATTGAACATCTTTGATAACCGTAATTCCTCTTTCGATTGCCACGCATCCATGTAACCAATCGCCTATAGATGTAAGACTACTTAGAAGAACATCAACTGTCAAACAATTAATATGGAGAAAAAGTCTATTAGTAATTGTTTGTGTCTGTATGAGAAGAAGCGAAGTGAATTTGATAACCAATATAATTGATGTCAATAAAGAAACAATTGAAGAGGAAAATAGGTAAATACCACAACCAACTTCTTGGCATTCTTTGTACCGAAATATATTTATGGAAAATGAACTACTGACTGCACCTAGTATACAGAGAATGGCAACAATAGTCAAACTAATCTTGACTGCTCGGGATTGTTGATTAATTCGAAGATTCGGTCGTATCTGATAACCAAGGATAACATCAAGTGAGAGAGTCATTCCTTCTGTCTTAAATTGACACTGTGATCCATAGAAACATTCTGGACATGCACAAAGTATTGATGAAGGACATTTCTCATTATTTTGCAGGCATGTCCCACCATTATGACAGTAACGGAATTCTTGACATGTAGAGGCTATTGACTGATTAAATCGAAAACAATTAGCGTATCTTTCATCATTACATAAACACATATATTCGTCATCATGAAAACATTCCAATGCTAATCGTTCTCGACAAGGTCTTTGGAAGTATTTTATACGATGAAGAGTCTCAAATTCAAGGATTTTTGAATCTAATAATTGATCGATAAATGGACATCGATTAGATTCTTCAACAAATACTTTATAGTCACTTGATTGAGTATATTTTATTTGACTAATAAGCAAATGGTAGATTTGATTAGTTTCGATAAATAGAAGATGAAATTGATTAGATATAGTGACGATGACTGAATCTTGATCATAGGCTATTTTTTTAAACATAATCGCATGCAAAGGATCATCGTCATATATAACCGTTATAAAATGAACAGTGACGAAGTTTAGAATAGAATTCACTTTTGAAAACGAGATTTCTATGCGAGATTGACGATATTGACATCGAATCCCTGTGAAGTCTTCTTTACAAATACAAGTAAAATTATCTTCTGAAATTCGTACATCTACAGGTACGCAAATACCTTCATTCATACAAGGATTCGGCTGGCACGCAGATCGAGTGAGAAAACATCGCGGACCAAGCATACCTAAAGGACATACACAGATAGAACGATTGTTTATCGATCCCAAACAAATAGAATTCGGTGCACAGTTACAAGAACCGATCCACTGATTACAATATATTCCCGACCAACCTTCTGAACAATGGCAAAAAGGTTCTTGAGTATTCATAGTTAATAGACAATGACCATGCATGCAATTAAAAGTCGAACATCCACCAATTATATTTGCTTCTTTGAGTAATGAAACAATCGTAGATATACGATATACTGGCAAGAATTGATTTTTTATCGGAAATACCCAACTAGCGTGAAATTTCAATGTTAATTTGTTGAATGCATCTATTCGGATCATGTAAGAGAATGATTCATTTTTTGGACGTTCTAAATAGAGTAATTGAATATCGACTCGAATATCACAATCACGCATTGGCAACAATGTTCGCTGAGCATATGAATGAATTTTCGATGCATTATCTATCAACATAATTATAAATTCAAAGATCACACGAAAATCGACTGTACGCAGACGAAAAGAAATGTCGACACGCTGAGATTGATATTGACAACGATCTCCATAATAACTAGCGGGACATAAGCATCGTAAATTTTCCTTATTTGCCTTTTGTTGACCGTTAAAAAATGGAATCCCACGATTACAGGACCAAAGATCGACTCCAGTCAATATTTTGTTAATGAGCACATGATTATTATTGAATTTTTTAGTCGATGGTGGTTGTTCTTGTTCAGTAAGAAGTCTTTCGGTCAAGTAGAAGTATAATTTCCTTTCGTTCTTTTCAGTTTCAATTAATCCGCAAAGGAGTCTGTCCGTTGGAGTCGAAAGGCGCTCACACATATCGTTAACATCGTTCAGTTGTGTACACATTTTTTCATCGTCTTTAAATGGACAATCAACTGATTTATCACATCTACTTGTTGGAAAAACACACCATGTACTGTTCCAACATTGATATCGCAACCTAGGAGAAAATAGGGCACTTTTCATATTTCGACAAAAAAATCGTTCGTCAGTTCCACCAATACAATCCATGTGATTATCTCCGAATTTTGATGCCGGTAAACAAGTTATATTGAAGGTTTCAGGTGAGAGACATTCGAATCCTTTAGGTGAACATCGATTCAATAAAGGACAATGAAGTTCATCACTACCATCTCGACAGTTCCAAAAACCATCACAGCGAGTGTAAATATTATTACAAGACCATTCTTCACAATGAGTTTCATCTGTCTCGATTGATGATAGATTCGAATTCCCATAGACATAATCAATCATTTTATGCAAATTTACTTCGATAAAACCATCGCAAATTATAGGAAATGGTATCGATGATGGTGTTTCAACAAAATATTCATTACCTTCTTCAAATAGACATTCGGAGGCGACATCATATGCTATCATATGTGATACACATTTTTCTCCTGAAGGACATTGAATATGAATTTTATCTTTTAATGAACAAGTTCTGTTTGTTTTTTCATCATCTCCTCCATAACAATCTTCTACACCATCGGAAAGGCGTCTTGCCGAAATACATTGCAGGGATTCATTGCATTGATACATTGTTTCTGAATGATTACACATTTCTCTCTCATTAGGCAAATAGCAATGTCGAAAAGTGTTGGCTATGGCATCGTTAACAGATAAATTGGCTTGTTTAAGACTCAAATATGATATACATGTTGATTGATTTATTTCTTTTTCTGGTTTGATGAATCGACAAAATAGACCATTGAAACAAACATAGATCGGTCGACCCGAATTCTGCTCATTATAGAAGCGATCAGATGTGTATACAACAGAGACGTGTCCAAATGCAACTGGCATCGAAGGGAAAAAGAATTCGGAATGACAATTCTCTTATACTACATCAATCCATGTAGCAAGTGTAATTTTGTCTTGTTTAAGTATATCTGGAAACAAGAATCTTATCATTGCTTGCCAACAGTTAAAAGGTAATATTCGATTTTGATTGTAAGAAAAAATTTTAGTTGCTAAGAGAGAAGGTCGTTTATTCAAACAACCATAATATTCACTGAAAATAGTTATATCTATGCGAGGAGCCGCAGTTCCATCACCACAAACAAAACCTAAAGACAATCCATATGATTCACATCGGAAAGATGGATCCATATAACATAGGTCTGTATGTATTGAAGAATATTGATTTTCATCTGTTCCATCTAGACAATCTGGATTAAGAGGATCATCATTATAGAATTCAATAGGAATGCATTGTCCATTCTGACATTGAAATTCTTTATCATTACAAATATCGAACTCAAGACGAAAACATTCATACTCATCAATTCCATTTTCACAATCTAGTTTTCTGTCGCATATTTGACGCCAATCGAGACAAACTGTTGAATTATTGAAAGAGCAACTTGGCAAATAAACGTAACAGAGTACATTAGTTTCTTTACTTCCAAAACGAGATTTCTCTACGAAGATATTTGTGACGATTTCATCGAAAGAAACAACAGACTCTCCGAATGAATATTGACAGTGTGAACCGAAAAATTCATGCGTACAATTATAAAAGACTTCTATTGACTTCTCTATCGAAGGATTATTCAGATAATCCTGATAACGTTCGATTGTATCTATGAGAACCGACCATGCATACAGTTGATCACTTGAGATTTGTTTTTCGTAAAGCTTGTCAAATGTCCAATTAATTATATAAGATGAATTATGAGATTCTTCGAACGATATCATATTCACTGGACGTAAACAGTATTCGATCAGCTCCAATACTGATTTCATTGGAAGATCACGTTTAATACTTGTGTTTGTCACATGATAGTAGAAACAATGATTTTCTAGTTGGAAATCGCTTGCTTTATCGGTCATATATGCATTTAACAATCTTCTAGATTCACTAGATCCAATAATCATAGTGAAACATAAAGTAGTTATAATAATATACTGCTCTATTCTAATCATTGTTTTCATGTTCGTTTTATTCTGATTAAACTAAAATCGTGTCATACTATTGAATAGATAGATAAAGCATTCTTCTCATAATACTTTTTTTGAAAAATAGTCAAATAATTTCTAGATTATTTCTAAATTCGTTTATTACTCTATTAACGTCAAACAAATAAATACTTGAAGGAAAAAAAAGCGCAGAACAATATTGAACAATGAAAAAGCAAATGAAAAACGATTTCTCTCTATATATCACATATCACTGATACGTGTTAGTGTGAAAAAAAAAACTTTCTGATATTTACCATTGACTATCGACTATTTACTATTTACTGTCTGTCTCATACGTGACCACTCTATTAGAGATATATCGTTAAATGATAAATCTTTGAACATGATTTTTCTCTAATATCTTTTATCTCTCTTCACAACCAGAAAAAATCATTGACAGTTGTGACTTTCACTAGACCCATCACAGTTCAAAATCAGCTAGGCTCAAAGAAATTTTCGAAATTGTTCCAGTTCCCATGAACTGAACCGGTGGAAGCAGTTTATGCTCTTATGAAGAGGGTGGATGACTGTTGGTGTGACTGCGTGGGTCTAAGCTTGAATATTCATCGGTCTGGAATAGAGTCCACATCCGCGAGTCTTCCACGATTAGAAGGTGTGAGAAGACGACGAAATTTTTTTTCGCATCACAGTTTATGTTAATCTGTTGCAAAGCGACAACTTTTTGTAATTTCCTTCAAAATTAGACTTTTTCTGACAATTTTTTAGAGTAATGTCATTATATCCCAAAGTCGGCTATCGAGATTTTGACACATCAATATATCCTAAAAGAAACTGAGGATTTTCCGTGAATTTGGTGTAGCCGAGTGAATACCCAAATGGATGCCTTATTGGTTTTTTTTTCACTTTCAACTGGAAGAACGTATTCAAGATGTAATACCATGCGTATTTTTTTGTCGCATGGACATCTTTTGCGTCATCCACATCAGCTGGTCTCATTTGTGCATATTGTATTTGGTGCCACTCATTTCGGGGGCAGGGTGTGACTGTGGGTGTTGATGTGGGCCTGGTTGTTCATCATCTCTTCACCCACACCCACACCCACACCCCACACGCACACGCACACCCCACACCCACACCCACACCCACACCCCACACCCACCCAAAAAGCTCTACAAAGTCTGACATGAGAGAAAATTTTCAGAGTATCCTTATTATTCGTTCATGCATAAAAACAAAAGTGTACATGCTTTTTTGGCGCCGCACTGTATGATAACAACCATTGTAGTATACGGGACCGTTGGGATCGTTGAGCAAACTGTTTGGTGGCAACAAATGATATTGTGGACGAAATCGATCATCAGCTTGGTTGATGTCGAGAACGGCGATTAGAAAAGCAAAAAAGGATACTGTTTTCATGTTTTCTGTGCAAGTTTACAGCTATGCTTGCAGTTGAGTTCTTTATTTATCTTTTCTCGTATCGTTATCTTGCTTGTTACTGTTGTTTGAGAGACAGATGTGCGAATTCACCTATTGACGTCTTTAGTCACCAATGGCTTTACAGAAAATACGCGTCCGAACCCATTAGGGAATCATGTACGCAATGATTAACGACTGTAAAATTCGTGTTAAGATATGTGAAGAAATTAGCAACAAAGTATATTGCTTGCAGAAAATATAGGCATGTGCATCAGAATCAGGGTGGCTGTCGGTGTGTGGGTGTTTGCGTGTCGGTGTGGGCGTGTGAGTGTGGAGTTGTGAATGCGGGTGTGAGGTGCGGGTTCGGATGTCGGTAGGTGTGGATGTGGGTGTACAAGGGTGGATGTAGGCTAGCGGCAAGACAAGGTCTACGCCTACACCCATATCCACATCCACCCACACCCACACCCGCACCCACACCCACACCCACACTCACACCCACACCCACCCACACCCTCACCCACACCCGCACCCGCACACCCACACCCACACCCCACACCCCACGCCCACACCCACACCCATACCCACACCCATAGGTTTCTTTTCAAGTAATGAAATTAATCTTGAAGATAATTCTCGTATTCTTTTAGGAAGTTTTCCCAAAATTACTGCGCTATTTTTCTAAATTCAACCTTTTTGAAGATTAAGATCAGCCTTCGAACCATTATTTATATATCTTATTGCACATTATTTTATCAGTAAAATTTTCTTTTGTATAGAATTTCAAAGTCAATATCAATCGTTTTTCAAGAATTTTTATATCGAGATCCCCGTATGTTTTAGT